CGTCGAAACCCGGACTTCTCCGCGAGGAGGAAAAAGGGGGCGCAACAACCTTAAAAAGGCAATCATCAAATTTGATACTTCGAAAAAGTTTGAAGTATAATCGAGAAACAAGCTCAATGGACAAATATCAAGTTAAAGGCTATGGAAAAACTATCACGGTTCGGAGACATCCGAATTTCGTAATTAAATAAGCCTTCAAACATGTTCATAAAACCGGTTAAAAAGGGGCTACCCTCGGCAAATTTACATAGGGTTTCGATAACATCAACCCTCGAAGACCTTAAGAGGTACCAAATTGAACAAACTTATGCTAAGGCATAACAAAGTTTTTCGATAACACAAATGAGTACAAATCTAAGACATAGCAAATTTTTATTAAAACTTTTAAGCCAAAAAAAGGAGAAAAGTCACTCTTTCAAGGCCACATCGGCCCGATTCAAGAGCCTAAGGGCCATTACATGGTTAAGCTCGAGGACACGCCCTCGCTTAACCAAAAAATCTAAGGGTTTTTCTACTCCGAGTTCGAGCAAATACTCACTCGATGATAGAGACTATATTAGTCCAACTCCGATCAAATCACTTAAGTTTCGGATTCGCAAACAAACGAAAATAAAAAATTTCACAAGGCAACGAAGTGAGTCAAATTTCTCTAAAGACCAAAAGTATATCAGAATTATCACAAGGTGAAAACAAAACAAAGTTTTCACTAAACAAAAATCAGAGACAAATCGGAAGGGAAAAGGATTTTTCATATATACGAGAGTATTTACAAAGAACACTCAGGGTCTTACACAAAAATCCAAAAAGAAGAAAAAAGTTCTAAGTGCCTAATCTTCCTCGGGAGCTTCATCTTCATCTTCTCGGCTCTCGGATCCACTTGCGCTCCTGGAATCATCATCATCAGAGAGAAAAACTTCGGCTTCGGCCTCTAACACTTTCGCATCTCGATGTCGGCTGTGAGGTCAAAACCACGAGCATGAATCTCTTCTAGAGTTTCTCTCCGAGATAGGCACTTAGCATGACCGGCAATGCAGGATAATCGAACCTCAACAGCATCAGAAATGTCCTTTGCTCGAGCGTTAACGGCTTCAGCATTGGCTCAGTAGACGGCCACGATCGCCTCTTCCTCGGCCTTCACTTTTTCCACCTCAGATGTGGCTTTTTCCAGCTCAATGGCCAACCGAGTCTCAAGCTCTTCAATTTTTTTGGCTCGAGCCAAGCTCTTCTTCTTAACGCTTTGGAGTTGACATTCAACCGAAGACAGCTGGGCTCGAGCTGTATCTTTCTTCGAGGCGAGGCGGTCCATGTTCTGCTTCCACCTCATAGTCTCTGCCTCTTTCACCTCAGCCTCCTCACGAAGCTGATCAATCTTTTTGGCCTTCTGTTGAACCTGCAGGGTCTGAGTGTTAGTCGCCAAATATCAAATTGATATGTCAAGCTCCCAAAAAGTACGTTACCTACTCGATGAGATCGGTCTGTTCTTTGTGAGCTCTTGCCAATTCAGCTCGAAGGCCCCTGATCTCCTCTTCTTCTTGCACGTAGAGGAGTTTGAGGGCATCTCTCTCCTTGGTGAGCCTTTTGAGATCGGCCTCACACCGGTTCAGCTCAGCTTGGGATTTGGAAAACGCTTCCCGTTGAAGCGTCACAACCTATGGAGAAATGAAGGAAATCAGACAAAAGGAAATAAAAACAAACATAAGACTAATAACCGGAGTTAAAATCTACCTGCTTCAGAAGTTGCTGAGATTCATCGAAAATGATTGATGCATCCAGGTTGGAAACATCATCGACCTCCGTGAAGAAGCCACGGAATAAGTTATCCCCTTTGCGGGTCGTTCCCACATCGAGAATCTCCATATCCGGGGCCTCCCGAATTTGCCCCGCAGAAAATGAAGGGAGAGGCGGCGAGTCATCAATATTGATTTCCCCAAGCACGACATTTCGGGCGCCTCTCCTTCTCGAAGGGCCTCGGAACCGGACCCTTCAGGCACACCCACTGATTGTTCGCCACCGCGGAAAATCACACTCGTCAATTGTTCATCATAACGGGAGACATCTACACCTTCCGATGATTCAGGGACTCCGCTCGAGGCATCTTCCAAGCCCTCCTCAGCCCGAGGTTGAACGACTTCGATTATAGCCGGCTCAGCGGCCTTTGGGACCTCGGCGCTCTTCTTTCGAGCCACTAGTTTGAAGGCCCCATCCTCTTCTCCCTCCTCTTCTTCATCTCGTAGCTTTTGGGCTATGCCAGCAGACAGAGAGGCGGAGTCATTCTTCGACTTGCGAGCCTTGCTTTTCTTAGGCTTCGGAGTATTTGAAGGCAATACCCTTCTCATCTTCTTATCCTTAGCCGGTTTTGGGGCCTCCTCTTCCCCAGGTGAGGCTGGCCTCATTTCAGCAACATCCCCGAGACCTGCATAAACGGGAATCAAGTATAAATAAAAAGAAACGTTTTAGAAAAAGGCATCAAAAGCGTATAGGATAAGCTTACCATGATTCTTGGCCTCCCAACGACTCTTCACTAAATCGCGCCACGAGCGCTCAGCATATGTGGAAGTCAAAGACAGCTTCCGAGCCCAACATTCGAGGTTCGGGATTGCACCGGGCACCTAGGGACTCGCTACAACATAAGAAAAGACATGGGTGAGAAAAGATGTGGGTGAAGGAAGATAAAAGAAACAAAGCAATCAACATAAGATTTTGATGGGTTTACGCTTCATGTTCCATTCCTCGGGGAATGGCATTTTCTCGGCCGGGATTACATCGGAGGTCCTCACTCGGACAAACCGACCCATCCATCCTCGATCCTTGTCTTCATCTGTACTCGAGAATAGTACCTTTGGGGCTCGGCGATGGAGCCTTATCAATCCGCCCCAATAGAGACGGGGGCTATACAGTCTCATGAGGTGGTCGAGGGTAAATGGCATTCTTCGACCTTGCTCACAAAGAATCGAAGCAAGCTAACAATGTGCCAAAAGAAGGGGTGTATCTGGCCAAGAGTTATTCGATATTGGCGGCAGAAGTCGATAGTAACGGGATCGACCGGATCTAGTGTGAAAGGGTAAGTGTAAACACTTAAAACCCTTTCACGTAAGTATTAATATCCTCCTCGGGGGTAGGAACCACCACCACTGTGTTTTCTCAATGGCAGTCTTTTTTCACCTGCTCGAGATTGCCTTCGGTTATCGAGCATATATATCTCGACATGTGCTCACATCGGCCAGGGACCGAAGAGGGCTTTTCAATTTTGAAATCAGAAGAAAGATCGCCTGACTCCGGGAACCCACTCTTCGATGCATGGCTCCACCGGCGTTTTATCACCGGCCGGCCGCGATGAAGAGGCTTTGTCCTTTTGGGGGACGATTTTAGATGTTTTCGCCATTTCTATGTGATTTCAGAGAAAAGAAGAAGATGAAGTTTGTTGTTTTAAGAGAAGATCAGCAAATGAGATGTAAGTAATTTGCAGAATTGAGGAACTTGAAGGAAGGAGAGCTTTGAAGATTAAGAAAAGTTTTGAAAATAAAGTTTGAGTAAATTATGAAGAGGATCTATTTTTAGTATTGCTATGACGGTTTGGAAATACTAGTGGTCTACCACTAACTGGCACTAATTAATGGCCTTGGGAACTGTGCAGACGCGACGCTTCAGTCGCCTCCGCCGCTAACGTCACGAGGGCAACGTCATAATTGGTCGAAATCAAAGACTCAGTTCGTTTCTTCTCATTGCACTCTACGAAACGAGGGGACTATCTGTATACGGGTAAAATCGGGCTTGCCCGATTTTGCCATTATTTCAAGATCGGAGAACTGAATCGAGGGTCATCCGCGTAATAGATGAGGCCTGAGCACGTAGACAAGGTACTGAATTCAGAGATCGAGGTACCCAGCGAGATCGAGATCCCCGACGATCGAGACCAGATGTGATCAGCTTCGAGCGAAACGTAATAACGGAAAGGCGAAATATCCGTTACCGGTCGGAGATCACGGTGGAAATCTCGGAACGGATCAATCAAGGGAGGTTATTTGTATCAATCATGTGATTTACTTCTGTAATTAGAATTGTACCTCAATTAGGATTCCTCTAGTATATAAAGAGGGGTCCCTATCATTTGTAGAGCCCTTACATTCATTCAGATAAAAGCAATATAACATTTCACCATAGTTCATCAATTTATTGTTCTTTACTTGTTCTTACTTTACTACTCTCGAGGGTTTATCAGTTCGCGGACTCTGTCCAAGCGTATGTTTGTTTTATATTGTTGTCAATTCATCACTTATCTCTAAATTAATCAATTGGTATTAAGTGAAATCACGTATCCTTAAAATCACATTACAAGTTTAATTGTTACTCGATTTTTAAGGTAAACACAATGTCACGTACCAAGCACCCTGTACTCAAGCTTCTTTTATGTTACTATTTTAGCAAATACAGGTATAGGGGTGGCGGACGTGCAAGGTAGGACGTCAACTTCCTCTCAGTCATCTGGTAAGCTTCATCTCTTGCTCGATAAAAGTCAATTATATTTGTCCTGCTTTGTTCATCTTATTAAGAGGCTCCCATAAACATAGTGGGTCATTTTAATTTGGCACGGCATTTACATGATGTAATCGCAGGAAGTTGAATATGTATAAGCTGTGTTGTCTTATAAAGAGGCCAAGGACATTTAAGTTCTACTAATCTTGAGATCAAAGCTTGTCAGATTCTGTTGGGAGAATTATAAGTCCAACGATTCCTGCGTGAGTCAGCTAGCTAGGGATATAAATGTATCTTTTTCACCATTTTCAGATTATCAATGAATCAGTTAGCCTAATCACTAGAATAGCGTAGGTTTCTCTTAGCTTAATTCGTGTTGTTTTTCCTTTTTGGTATCCAATGTGAAATGAGGTCTGCAACATTTTGACATAAAAAACTAGACGTACCGACTTTGGAAATTTGCTATACGCAGAGGAAGATAAAGATATCTGTAGCACAGACACTAGCACACTAACAGACAGTCTCTGTAGGTCCCACACAAGTCGGCATTCCTGTAATTATCAATCTGATATTTGTACAAGCATAAAGAACACTGCCCAACAGACATATATGTATATATTTATGGATATCAAAATGAAGTGGACTTTAGTAGCATCGACCATCTGTTGATAGCTTCAAGGTATTACATCTAATACTACGGCTCTGAACCTGGAATTTCTGGTGGAAACCGAAGATATCCAGGACAATGGCACCTAAATCTTAGTACTTGGCTTCAAGTTTAATTTGCTGGCGCTCTGGCAGCTTGCAGTTCTAACTTCAATCATACATAGCCGTTACAGCAGATAAGAAAAAAAAAAACTTCATTGATGTATAGAGACTGATCATACTGATCTCTCAGAACCATGTATCTCGATCGCGGGATGCATGCCAAGAAAATTACTCCATTTAGATTTTCTTCCACTGTTAAACCCGTCAGAACAAAACCTGTTAAATCTCATGCCAAAGCTTGAATCATAACCCCTCTCAGTTTCACGGAGCAAAAAGAACTATGTTTGAAGTTCAGCCAAACCAATAACTCAACTCTTCTGAAGTCCCTATCTCTGCACATAAAAAGACGTCACATTAGCAAAGCTAGTACCAACGATGCCATGCTTTCTTACAATGGCTAAATGTATGGAAAGAGATCCAGGAATGAAAACAATATCCATATCAGGTCCTTCACAGCATGAAGACAACTTCTGAAAGGCCAAAATCACCAAAGAGAATTTAAATTTCTATTTACTATACTAGTTTAACCTGACAGCATCCAGCAAGTGCTACCCTTTATGCAACTGATATACTTGAAACGATATAACGTTTATAGCTTAGATCTAAACAGGTATACTTAGCTTATTTACATTCAAATGGACAAAAAAGAATAATTCATATTTCTGGGGATTAGCAAATGAAAGGACATTGATCATGAAGAATACAGACACCTTTTATTTCCATCTCAGAGGACAGCAGACACCTGCAACATTTTCAAAAGTGGTTCTGAATCACACTCCCATCGTATAGGTTTATTATACAACTTTTGCCTCTCCATTGACTACTGCATTTCCGCTTTTGCTGGAGATGTTGCCGCCACTTTTCTTCGTTTGGGGCTTGTCTGGTCCATCATTTTCTGGACTTACTAATCTCTTGGCTGCTTCTTTCCCTGGGCTTGATAACTTCATAGGAACTGTTTTGTCCTTGAGAGATTCCACACTTTTTGATGCTGAACCATCATTTGATACGGTCACAGCTTTCTTAGGTTTACCCTTATCTAAAGTTTTTGGTGAAACTACATTGTCATTTGAAAGGCTAGCGTTGCGTGGCTTTGCACTTTGCTTCTCTGGCTCGGGATCAGGGAGTAATGCACGCCGGCTCAAACGAAGTTGCCCCTTGTCATTGATCTGTAATGAGACAAGATCTCAAATTGTCAACTGCTTCTGATTTCCATTTTTTATTATATATAAGTAATCAATTGTTAAAGGTTTCATATGCACTCGCTAAAAGATGCTAAATACATGTGCTCTTACTTGCATTCTGGAAAGACATACTAGCAAGAAACAACCTCACAACAAAGTAATTTGAATATTAAGGCTGGCTGATTTAGTAAAAACCACAACTTCAACCAGAAGAGAGATCGTTTAGTAGGCCAAATTCAAATTTCTAAAACTCAATCATAACAGGAGAATACAAATCTAAAGCCAGGAACAGAGGAAGAGATACAAATTCTCCTCCCCCGACACTTCCGATTTATCTTTTTCTGTCGAGCATTTAGAAACATCTATGAAAAACACATAAACCTGAAACTACTGAGACTGCTTGCACCTTTAACAGATTAAATCCATTAATATCAAGTTAACAGGCTAAACAACTTATTCGAAAAATTAAGACTTCACAACAGTTTAAATTTTCATCACTATCTGCAAGAAAATAAAAGTATGACTTTGCAACATAAGAAGCCATAACATTTGATTGAACTTATTCAGGGAACTGTCAGTCTCAAAATTAGTAACCGACCAACACACCAGCAGATCGTAGTGATAGGGTCCATAAGAAACAAGTTCCATATCCATATGTGTGGACAAATAATCATAATGCAAGGACATGTACTCTTCTGAATACTATAACAGAAATGACTAATGACACTGGAGCTAGTAAGTATTGAGCAAAGCTGAGAATCGCAATGCAGT